AATAGGCCATAGTCAATTTCTCCACCCTCTTACTCCTTCCTTCTTACAGATAGTAGTATCATATCTACCAACTGACACCATCTCTCCAAGAACAGGTAACTATAAGAGTGATGCAGGAATACACCTATACTTATTGGGAAATTAAATTGGCTACCTAGTTAACCTACAAATATGTTTCCAATGGTTGCTACAGCTTTTAGGTCTATCCATCATATGTTCTAACATCATTGCGGGTGCTATGCGTCAGCACCTAGCTATAGGTCACATACTTTTACAGTTTGTCAGTTATAAAAAGTACAACTACATAATCAAGACTACTCCAATTACTCCACAATTGTCGAGGTAGCTTCATAATACAATGTTAAATAAGTCCATCAAGTTTTATTTGCGAAATATTGTTTGTGGAAAGCAGAGTAATACAATGTATATAATACTGTACAGGGTGCTTCAAATGCTAATATCTTAATCAGAATTAATAACATAGTTAAACTGATGCCATGTAGAGTGAGGAGGATATCTCATAATTCTCGCCTTTGTGTTATTTCTGTTATTTCACTGTTGGAAAATGAGAGCTATTGTAATCTAAGGGTTAGGAATATGGCTTACATTTGGTAAATCAATATCATCATCACTGTTCATAATATCATGAGTATCAGAGCCCTCCTGCTTTTCTAAATCACTATCATGGTCATCAACAACTTTAGCTTTCGCATTTGCCTTTCTATTCCTTTGCTGATTGAGCTTCACACACTTGGCTGCTAGTCTCTTGAATAATGCAGTTGTCCTTTTAGCATCAAGTACTTCATGCTTGCAGTAGAGATAAGCCAATTACTTTAATCCTTAAATGAGGCCTCCCTTAAGCTGGCGATGATCTGACTTAGCACTCTTGCTTGCAGCTTGCTGTTGGCGTAGCAGCTCCTTGTTGATACTAAGTTCTGCTTCAGTATCCCGGTAGAGTAAAAGGAGTTCATTAAAATATTGCTTCATTTGAACTGTAGATTCTGTTTCCTGGACATGAAGGACCTGTTTAACTAACTTGTCAACCTTATTAGAGTTCTCTCTTTATCCAGGCAGTGTTCTCAGTCCTGGTCAGCAAGTTCTCAAAGCTGGTGGTGCTGTGATCTTAGGTTGAAAATTTGGATCACTCAAGATTCGGTGCCGATTGAAGGAGACAAGACCGGTTGCTCTCCATACTGAAAGTATATTCCTCTTTGTAAAGGCCTTGAGTCTGGACTTCTGCAGCATTGGATAGAAGTCCCCTTTGCATAGCTTTGAATATGGTCCTACAGATTGTATCCTTTCATTCACTTGTTGTTTGTAATATGTGTCAAGAGGGGAGAACAACCCAACATCAACAGGTTGAAGAATATGAGTACAGTGTGGAAGGAGGCAGAGGAGGTGAATATTATTACTCATTGCAAATTCAATAAACTGGAAGTTCTTACAATGTGAATTGTGACCATCAAGAACTAACATTCAATGTTGACTTATTCCCTTCTGAGGTCTTGTTCTTGGCTTAAATATTTGGACCAACAATTCATACTTGATTTGGTAATTGGTATATCCTGTTGGTGAATAAGAAAAGAAGGCATATTACTATTTCTTAAACTTAATATCACCATCGTGTCCCATAATATGTGACCTTTCAGGAAAGTTAATAAGTGGTGGTAAGGCAATTCATGCTTCAGAAATTGCTTCAATATCAGTCACCCAACTGCAATTACCATC